CAACGAAGGAAAGTAGTGCTGGTTACGTTGATTGATAATCTTCTGATCACATCATTTAAATAGCCTAAATTAGCTACTTTTGCTGTGTTGCCTATTTGTTATGGAACCAGATAGAAAGTATAGGCCTTTTTAAATGGACTGGATGTATTGTATGGTGTTAATATGGGACTTTATGTAACTACCAGCAACGGAGGTTTTGTAGCCATTTTACCAGTTTGGTTCTTTCTATCAGAAAAAAACAAATAAATGAATAAATATAATCATAAATTCTTACTGTACTTCCTTTAGGTGCCATTATTCATAAACATAACTTACTTCATACTTACTATAAAAATAAATGAGACCAGGCTCTATAGATTGTATCAGGTGTGATGACAGTAATAATGTTGACATTCCTTCCTGTCTGTAGTATTAACAGTATCATTGCTATCAGGATCTCATAGTGTTGTAATTATTTTCATTTGTGACTAGATGGCAGCAAAAGCCATCCGTTAAACAACAGGATGTTTCTCTTTTGGTCTTCTTCCACTTCATCCCCCTCTCACAGTTGTGCTGCTTCAATCCAATCTCTAGAAATAATATATAATAATAATAATAACAATGTTCTATCTGAGAGTGCTTAATTCAGATTTATTGCTCAAGTCAGATTCTTTTGTATATTTACTTTCATTTATTTATTTATTTATTGGTGAAATTAAGTGACAGACAAGGTGACATGAGGGACAAATACATCACACCACGTGGACTACAAGTACAGACAGTGGACATACAGTGCAGATAACAGAAGACAACGTAAAGTTACAATGATATGTACTGTATATAGGTAGTATAGGTGTGTGTATGTGTGTGTGCGTGCATGTATGCGTGCATGTGGATGAGAGGCAGATGGTATGGTATTATATACAGATATAATATGGCATAGATAGATGATACAATAAAAATAAATAAGTAAATAAAGTATAAATATGAGAAGAGAAGGAAGAAGAAGAAGAATAAATAAATAAATAATAATAATCTGCAATACGATATGGCATATATTAACATAGTATAGTGCAATGTAATTTAACCTAATATAATGTGACAAGATAATGTGAGATAAGATAAGATAATATAGGGCAATACAAGACATTATAATATAATATGCAGTATGATTTAACCTCATATAGTGTGACGGGATAATGTGAGATATAATAATGTAATACAGGGCAATACGAGACATTATAATATAATATATCATGATGTCATATAGCACAATGTAATATATAATAACATAATATAAGATCATATGGTATAACAGACATACATATATACACATATGTAAACATAACCTAATGTAAACCAATATATCATGACAATGACTATCATAAGACTAATATATTAAGTGGCCCAGTCGGGAGCCCCAGCGGGAGACAGACAAGACAGCAGTGACAGGACGATAATAGCAACAACAATCATAACAATCATAATCATAATCATAATTTTCAGTCATAAGCATATTCGTACTAATAATATTCATAAACACAATCAACAAAATGAGCATCATAATAATAATTATCACAGACATAGTAATAATGAAAATAGTGATAATATAGTAATAATAATAATAATAGTAATAATAATAAAGGAAGAGCAAAAGAAAAACAGGAAGAGAGAATATTTTAATTAAGGGAAATAAGAAACCAGGAGAAAAAGGAAAAAAAACTGATGTGTTTTGAGGTGTTAGGAATGTGTGCGGCACTGGTGCAGGTACAGGTCCATCGAGGAGAGGAATGATTTTTTCCATAGAGATGTGTTCCAAGAGAAGATTGATCCAGTGATTGATGTTTATTGAGTTTTTTGATTTCCAATTTAGGAGAATTGTTTTCTTGGCGACAGTTAGAGAAATGAGCAAGCTTCTTCTTCTTCTTGTATTTGTTTGGTATGGTGAGTACTGAAGTGTCTCCTAGTAAGCAGAGCTGTGGGGATGAAGGGATTCTGCAGTCCAGTATGGTGGAGAGGTTTTTGTGACAGAGTTCCAAAAAGAGTGAACCGGTTGACAAGCCCAGAGTGCGTGAAAGTAATTAAAAATGTCTGTGGTTAATAGTCCCATTTTGTCCATTTTATATTGTGAGATATGTGTTCGGTGGATGGTTTTGTATTGGATTAACTGAAGGTTTGTATTGGATGTCATGGCAAATATATTTTATTTATATCTATCCAAGAGTCTGATGTGAGATGAGAGATGTTCAAATCAGCGTTCCAGTGTGCTATTGGGAGTGTTATTGAATCATCTGAAGCTAATATTAGTCTGTATAGATTGTAAATTATTTCAGAAGGTTCAAGTCCCGTGGTTCTGTATGAGGTCCTTGAAATCTATAAACTGATTATTGTTCAAAAGATGGCGGAGATGTGTGATAGTGAAGAGGATTGTTGTACAGTTGAAAGTCAGGGTTGTGCCATATTGGCGTGTATTTACATGGCGCTGGAGTGGAATTGAAGATCTTGATGACTTTCCACCAGGCTGTCAGAGTTGTGGAGATTACTGTGTTTTTGAAGCAGGGATGTCGTTTGATGGTTGTATTTAGGAAAGGTAGATTTACTTTCATTTTAAATGTGTCCCATATCAGTCTCCAGTGTGAACAGGTCACCATACCATATTCGACCTCTCACATAAGTGTCACCCCGAATACTTCAGAGGTCTAACACCTCACTGTCCCTCCACTGACTACCTCCATCACTACTGAGTGACGTAAAAGTCACATGAATTCAGATAGGACTGTTGACAAAGTCAGAACTGCATCTGATTTGGACCACGTATAAGAGAGGCCCAAATCAGAATTGAACAGATCAGAGTCTATGTGAGTTGTGCTTTTACCTGGAGAAAAAATAAATCAGATTTGGGCCACTTTTGGAGTCTGCAGTGTGAACATCCTGCATGTGGACGGATTGTTGAAGGTCCCACAGCGGTCACAGCTGTATGGTTGAGTGCTCGGCCGCAGAAACAAAGGTTTTCTCACAGCGTTGGCACTTGAATGGTTTCTCCCTGCTGTGGAGACGTTGGTGTTGTCTAAAAGAAGCAGCAGAACTGAAAGTACTCTTACATTTGGGGTACAACTTCTTTCCGGTGTGAATGAATGTGTGTTCTCTGTATGCAGACAGAGCACTGAAGGTCTTCCCGTAGTGATCGCAGCTGTATGGTTCCTCTCTGTTGCAAACCCAATGGTACAGAACCAAAGAAAACAAACTTTGGACAGCCATAAAGTGAGTTTTGGATCTACAGTAAATCAGTGAGGATGAGAGCATTGTAGCGATTCACCACATTTCTTACCATTAGAGAAATGAGTTCTGACTAACAGCCCTGTGTATACGGGCATGTTGATGGTTCCTGTGTATGATCACTTTACCTCCCTGATAAAGACTGCTTTAGAGCTCTTTGAGTCAGTAAACAGCGATATTGTGACACCTTGTGGCCATATATAGTATGACAGAACACTGAGTCATGCTGGAAAATGGATCTTTACCTTTTTAGAACAGTAAAGTCTTCTTTTTCAAACACTTATAACAATGTGAGGTGTCAACAAATGGCACTGGCATACAGCACAAATGAAGGTTAAGCAGTTCATACTGATAGCTGTATTTAGTTCATTGTGTATTGACTGATTGACAGAATCCAACCATTTCACAAGTTGTGTTGTTTGATGTTTGCTTTTGTTGCATGTTTTGAATGTTTTGGAGCTTTTTAAAAAGCAGTCAGTCTATGCCTGTGTGAGAACTGTTGTGAAAATGTAACTTCTGAATGGATAAATGTGTTCTAGCAAATAAGAAAAACTGAACTCAAGTACAAATTTTAGACAATGTATTTCATTTGAGTATTTTTTTAAATTGTATGCAACAATATACTTCTGCAGTTCTGAGGGAAATATTGTACTTTTACTCCACTACATGTTTTTAACAGCTCTAGTTTCTAGATGGGTAAAGATTAAGCTAGCAGGTCACAAACCTTTTTGGATTGTGATTAGAGCCGCACAATTAATCGCAGTATTATTGAAATTGCCTAGTGCAATATGCAAATAGCAAGAAGCTGCAATTGTTTGATAAAGGTAATATGTGTGATAAACAGTATTTTACAGTATACAATAAGAGTGCTGTAGTGCTGCAGAGATGTCCAGACATACATATATATATATATATTTTAACATATTGTGACCCTTTACAAAAACAGTTTGGACTCATCACATTTCAGATGTCAGTAGTTCCACCAGAAACATTTCCTGTCCTAACTTCTCACATGCTCTCATTTAAAGAATGAAATACTGAGATATATGTCTACTGTATAATTTAAGTTCTTATACCTCTCAAAATAAAGAAGACCTTCCCACTAGGGATTTCCAGAGGTTCACAGGGGGTCCGCACTGCCAGGTTGGGAACCAGTGCCCTAGAGCAGTGGTTTTCAATAATGTTCAAGAAATATTTTTTCAGTTAACTACACCCAGCGCAAAACATTTTGGGTTGAAAAAAATAATCCTTTATAAAGACAATAGAGCTCTGCTCCATCAGTAACTGTAAACACACAATGTTGGCCCTGTTTTTGCTTTCTTTTTCAGTTCTTTCTCTTCTCTTCAGCTGTATTACATTTCAACCACAAATCCAGTTTCTTGATTTTCATCCTTCAATATGGAAAGCGGCTTCCTGCTCACAGTGAACAAACATCGTAAAGAGATTGCGTTTGTTGCTCTCTTTTTCTTCTCCTGTGAGGTCTTACAGCAGTTAACGATTGCATCAAACTTACTTTTTTACTGGACTTTTAGTATTATTATTTTAGGAATTATGCATGACTGATTTTTATTATATAAACTTTTTCTTAAATCTCTCGTCCCCGCCCTCCAGTACCCCAAACCAATTGAGAAATCCTGCCCTAGAGTACGCTTACCCTTTTAAAAAGGATTTGGCTGCTGTGTAACTTTGGCATACACAAAATGCATTAATAAAATAACAACAAAAAAAAAGGTCTGGAGTCTGTATGTTGTCCCAATCCTTTTATTGCAGCAACAGATCATTTACAGAAAACCGTGACACTTCAATCTCCCTTTCACAATTCATCTTTGCTTCACAATAACTTAATCACGTCGTCTACAGGACAGAATCCATCTGCAGACAACACTGAGGCAGTTTTTAACCAACAACTTTATTCCCCCACACTGTAAGTTAACAACTGCATCCTCCTTTGTCTGTCCAACATCACAATCCGTTCCAGCATGTACATGACTTCTAATCAAAGATTAGTGATGAAAAACATAAAAATCTGTTTCACCAGGTACTGCAGTGGTCTGCAGTTTAAATTGTATTGCTCTTCCTTTTGTATTTTTAGAGAATAAGTGTGTCCTGAAGTAGTGCAGCCCCTTAAACCTGCATGTCACAAACAGCTTATGGCTTTGTAAAAAGCTTTCAAAGCATTTTCAGAAAATTCGTTTGTTTTTTATTTTATTTCTCCAAGTCCTTTTAAAAAAATGTTCCTTTTAAAAATCTAGAAGCTCTCTCTGTAAAGACTGTAATCTTCAATGTTAAAAAGGTTTTTCAGTTCACATTGACTTACAAAGTGTTCGGAAGTAGAAAAAAAACAGCTAGTGTTACAGAAAAGAAAACACAAGACATCCTACAAAAAGGACTACTGCACACCACTGGAATGTGTTGCATCCCTAAAGACAATCTGGTAGTTACAGTATGTGAGGACACACAGTGGGACTGTGACACCAAAGGATATTAAAAAAACAGGAATGTTTTACTTCTTTGACTTATAGTAGTGTAATTAATCCTACGACATCAGATCTACTTATTGTTTATTGTCAGTATCACAACAGAAATGTGTTATCCACAGTGCTGCACCCGAAGCTATCTTAGTGTCACAGTTATATCTCATAATACAACAGGGACACAGACCTGGCCATCACCTTCAAAATAAGATACAAAACGCTCTCATTTGGCGTTCTTTATTCCACAATTTGAGCCTGGAATGGAATGATGTGTAAGATGTTCGATCTTTTGGGCCTGCAGGAGCCCTCCTACCACCGATCAATTAAAAAACACCTAGTGTCAAAAGGAAAAGGGAACAGTGACTAAAGAAATATCACAGAATTTCCCTTTAAAGTAAATTAAACACACAGCAAAGTTTCGCCACTTTAACGGGTGTCGGTCAGTGAGTCATGGCTGACCTCCACAGGAGTATGATGCCTGATCTATTTAACCCTCTGTGAGCCAGAGAGGGCAGAATCTGGATCACACAGGGTTAAAAGGCTTCAGCGCGAACTGTCCTGCCTGAATCAGCCCACTAGGCTGGATCCATGTATAGCTGGTATGTTCGGGGGAAAAAAACAAAACAATCTTTACACCACAGCGGGACAACTTTGCACTGTCCATGGTGTCCTGATTTACATCACAGTTTAAATTTACGGAGCTGAAGTGAAGTCACAACTTCAGTTCAAAAGTATCTGATAGTCTAGTTAAGATGGTCTTGGTAATCTGAAAATATGGAAAAGAACAGCTAGGCATCTACAGAACACAAACACACAGAGGTAAAGGTAGTTAGAGAACAAATCAGAAGGAAACCAACGTCTCACATACTATATCCTGATAGCTACGGCTCACAGAAAGGATTAGAGATTAAGATCTGTCAACACACAAAAAACACGCTCATCATGGGGGACATGGGGGACACACACACACACGCACGCACACGCACACACACGCACACACACGCACACGCACGCACGCACACGCACACACACTCTGTCTCTGAATTCACATGCTAGCATATGGCTCATCCTGGAGTCAACACATACTGAGTGGTAAATAAAATGGCTAGGTGAGGAGGGGGGGTGAGGGAGGGTGGAGGGAGGTGGGTGACGGACATCCCGACAGCTTTGCATAGAGTCTACAACACTGACCAGAACTGAAAACGGAACATGACACTTTTAGTTTGATTACTACATTTCAAAGATACATTTGTTACCTCCATCGAGCTGATTTCTCTCAGCAGGAGGAATGGGGGAAACTCCAGCTCAGACTGGAGACTCTCTGCAGTGTTCAGAGAAAGACTTTCGTTAGAATCTGAAGCTCCTGAACCGACAAAGTCAAAAAGAGCTCACTGTCTAGACCAGAGTCTTAACTGTGAGACTGATCTGAAACTGCCAAATAAGGGCTCAGTTATGGCTTCAGTTTACTTGGCAACAGAATTTAGTTCCAGGAAGCCAAACTAAGACACTTCAAAATAAAGTTCTAGTCTGGTTTATTGTTACAGCTCTTGCAGATACAGACTGGCGGCTAGTAGAGCACATAGACTTCACATGACCTGAGCATCAGGCCAGTCACACAAAACCGCCCTGAACAAACATGAAAACGGATGCTCTATTTTAAAGAAAAAAGAAAGGTGAAGACATGAGGGGTAAAAACAGGAGTACCGTATTAGTAAACAATTCATCCATCATCTCACACATTTATACCAGAAGGGAAACTCAAAGGAGGGAGAGACAGATGGGGAGGGGGGGGAGGCGAGTGTTGTCATAGCGACTTTCTCTGGAGGTGGAGAGGTGCATCATCGCTCTGAGCGCACTCAGATGGTGCTGATGCAACATCAGTGGGTCCCTGCTCCGTCACAGCGACGACCACGGCAGCCTCTACGTTTCTATGGGAGCACAAACAGGATGAAGTTTATTCTTCACGTTCAAGGTTGTGTCTGATCACACTGCACTGTGTTGGAAGTTACACTGGAGTATAGGGTGTTCCTGTATATGCTGTCCCCCATTATAGGTCATCATTTGTGCAGATATGTTGCAATATGTTGCACCTTTTCCCACTTTGGGTTTTTCTTTGCTATTGAAGCAACTGCAGAATAAAGTTTTTGTGTCTGGAAAAGTCACAAGCTTTCTAGCAGCAAAAAGAAACGATAATGTGTTCTTCTGCAACAGCAGCCAAAGTGCAGCTGACTATCAGTTCCACGTTGACAGCTTTAGATAACAGTCTCTCCTGCAAACAGCTGTTCTGGACTCATACCTTTGGATTGGATGTTTCATAAGTTTTCATAAATGTTATGATCTCCGTCCACACTGAAACTCCTACCAGAGCTGAAACGTTTAGTCGATCCACAGAAAGTTTATTTCCCTCATGCTGTTGGTCAAATAAAAACAAAGCTCTGAGAAACAGGTCTTTTTTGTTTGCTGACCTTTTATTAGCCAAACAATGAATCAAGTAAATACACAATTTAAAATGATCAATAGATTAATTAATAATGAAAATGCTTGGTTGTTCATTGTTAAGCAGTTTAGTGTGGACTGGAAGTCAGAACAAGAAAAAGTTTTCAGATTAAGCTATTTTAGTGTGGATGTATTCTAAGGCCTGTATAGGTCTCCAAGGTCTTGCTCATGGTGGTACTGTTGGGTCTCTGTAAATAATGTTATAAAGAATTCGGTCTCAACCTGCTATATTTGAAAAGTGTCCTGAGATAACTTTTGTTATGAATTGAGGCTATACAAATAAAACTGAATTGAATTATAGGGTTGCAACTAAAATAATTTTCATTATTGATTAATCTCGGTCATTTTCAAAGATATTCAGTTTGCTGTCATAAAGGACTAAAGAAAACAAAACATATTCACATTTGAGAAGCTGAAATCAGAGATTTTTCCTTCTCAAAAAAGGATTAAAAATAATTAATTATCAAAATAGTTGTCGATTAATTTAATAAGGGAAAACCTGGAAATTTAGAGACTAGTTTTCCAGTCATGGAAACATCTGGAAGTTGATTAAAATGACCAAATATCCTGCAAAAATTCTATGTTGTCCAGGAAAAATGTCTTGTATTTTAGCCTATACTATGGCCAATTTAATATTACGGTTAATCGGAAAGAGAAGAAAAATGGCTGTGATGAGAACAGCCAGGCACTGCACGAAAGCGAGCGAACGCGGAGTGTCCCTTTAACGATAACTACATATGGCTGACCATTGTTTATGAGCACGCTCTGTACTGCATTATCAAGAAAAACTCCTGGAAAACGATTTCTTAAAAAGAGTGGGAACCCTGTTAATAGAGGACGACTGATCATTGCAGCTTTATTACTGTGGACGTCTTTATTGTTATGAGCATGACGTCGGTTGGAAGCAGCGTTTACCTGTGGGCTCATCCTGAATCTGTTCCTCTATCTCGGCAAACTCTGCTTCTGCAAAGACAAACACACAGATCAGTCCACAAGCCCTAAACACATTGTTTGTTTGTTTGTTTGTTTGTGCACCCACCTTCTTCTGCTGCCTCCTCTGCCTCGTATGCTGCTACTTCTTCTTCTGTCTCTGTGACTGTGGGACAATAAACATTTGAAATGATGAACAACTGCTCCCAAAACCACAGTCAGTGAACACGTTACTTCAGCACTGGTACCACACTGACATCAAAAAAATCCTTAGATCATCAGCGCCAATGCTAACAGCTGACGGACACTATGTTTAGAGATAGTGGATTTCTTCTAACACTGCAGCATATTATCTCAAGAGTGGGAGAAAACTTAAGTCTTATTTCCCAGAATAATGCTACTAGTTTACTAATATAGTGTCTAATGGTGTCACATTTTCTCATTGACCCTTATAAAATGAGTCTCCTGAACTTTAATCTGTCCTGATGGTGCACTTATCAGTGCCGATAAAGCTACTTTATCTATTGTGGAACACCTTCAATTGGATCCTAGTCTGCCAGAAGTTGTTGACAAACTGATGCCAGGAACCAGATACAACCATTTCATTGTCTGAGCCATCAAAGCAGATGGCCAGCAGGCCCCAGCGTTCTTATCATAAGCTCTTACAGTTTAAAGCTGAGCAAATCTGTGTCAGCACTTTTCTTCCTAAAGTCCTGTAGTGGAGTTTCACATATTAAAGCTCAGGAATTTGGGAAATGCGCTTATTCACTTTCTGGCAAACAGTTAGATGAGAAGAACGACACCAGTCTAACATAAGGCTACAGCCAGCACAAAGACTGGGAACAGGTGGATACTGCTAGCCTAGCTAATGGTAACAAAATCCACCTACCAGCACCTCTAAAGCTCCTTAATTAACATGTCATATCTCATTTGTTTAATCCAGATAAAAAACTAAATGTGAAAACTAGAATTTGTTCCTTTATGGTGGGGATATGTTGCCAGGCCAGTTTTCGGCTCTGAGCAGTTTCCAGGCAACAAGCAATGGTCCAGGAAGTTACTGTGTCCAGCAAAGAAATAGTCCCGCACATAAACCCCTGTAAAATGGCAAATTGTCATTGTACACTTTGGTTTTTGTACAGATTAAAGAAACAAGATACAAGCTGTTAATAAGTCTACTTTACAGATGGTGGTAGGCGGATTTGACAGACTTTCCACCTGTTTCTGGTCCAACTCTAAGCGGCTACTGGCTGCAACTTCATTTAAAATTAAAGTTTCTGTCGGTTTCCATAGGTTGAATTTAGGACTTAAGAACTTTTCATGATTTTTATGAATGCAATTAAAAAGACACCATTTTATCCATATCCATACTGACAAAAAAAAGAAGGATATGAAGGAAAATCAATATTGGTTCCTTTTCAGTTTTGTTTTGTAGTTGCATGATCAATACGTTTTTCCAGAAACACATTTAAAAAGAGATTTATACAATTAACTGTACCTTTATTAATCCAGTTTTTAAGAGCTGTCAAAATCATTTTAAAGACATTTTAACACCATTATTGGATTTTATACTTTTTAAAGACCCCATCAACACCCTAGAAATAGCATTCCTTTAATGTTGTTGGATTCATGGACAGTTCAAGATCAGAAATGATAGCAGAACCAGAGATTTTGTCTTTTTTATTCAATGTATTGAGTTGTGTTATGCTAGTGGCCTGGAGCCTGGGGCAGAAATAAGGAGCAACTACTACAGGGGTCTGGTAAGCTCACTTCTTTTTATGTCCACATTTCTCAGACTTTACACAGTTCTACAACTATTTTCACATATGCAGTAAGACCTGTAAACAGGTGTAAAATCACTAAATGTTCCCCTTTAACAGGCAGTGTGGTATCAATCTTCTAATCCAACACACCACCAGAAAGTGAAGAAGCATTTCTCCCACAGTGAACTATTCCTTCAACATAGATACTTGAATCAAAGTCAAAGATTGGATATTCTGAAGACACCAAATACCTTATCTTTTTACTTTATCCTTTCCTCTTTACCTGGTACTGTTTGCTGCTCCTCTACTTCTTCTGGAGTTGCCTCTGTGTCTGCTGCTGCCTCCTCCTCCTCTGCCTCTTCTGAGGGAGCTGCCTCCTCTTCAGCGGGCTCCTCAGCAGCCTCTTCTAAAGGAGCATCCTCCTCTTCATCAGCTGGCTCGTCTGAAGGTACTGCCGCCTCCTCCTCCTCAGCTTCTTCTGAAGGTGCTGGCTCCGCTTCTGCTACTGCATCCTCAACAGCTTCCTCTGCTGGAGATGCCTCCTCTGCAGCAGGCTCCTCAGCAGGAGCTGACTCTTCTTCAGCTACCTCCTCCACCGCTGCCTCTACTTCAGCTACCTCCTCCACAGCTGCCTCTACTTCAGCTACCTCCTCCACAGCTGCCTCTACTTCAGCTACCTCCTCCACAGCTGCCTCTACTTCAGCTACCTCCTCCACAGCTGCCTCTAATTCAGCTACCTCCTCCACAGCTGCCTCTAGAGGTGCTGCCTCCTCTTCAGCTTCTTCTGCAGGTGCTGTCTCCTCTTCAGCGGGTGCCGCCTCCTCTTCAGCTTCTTCAGCGGGTGCCGCCTCCTCTTCAGCTTCTTCAGCGGGTGCCGCCTCCTCTTCAGCTTCTTCAGCGGGTGCCGCCTCCTCTTCAGCTTCTTCAGCGGGTGCCGCCTCCTCTTCAGCTTCTTCAGCGTGTGCTGCCTCCTCTTCGGCAGGCTCCTCAGCAAGTTCCTCTGAAGGAGCTGCCTCCTCCTCTTCCGCTACATCCTCGACAGCTGCTTCTGAAGGTGCTGCCTCCTCTTCAGCAGGCTCTTCAACAGCTTCTTCTGCAAGAGCAGCCTCCTCGACAGCTTCTTCTGCCACTGCACTCTCTACATCATCGGCCACCTCCTCGGCCTCCTCCACAGCCTCCTCTGTTTCCAGTTCCTCCTCTGTGACCTCTTCAGGCTGGTCTGCCATCATCTCCTCTGCAACCTCTCCAGCTGCTGTCTCCTCCTCAACTGGAGCAGCCTGAATCAATAAACATTGTCATGGGTTATAAAAAGATATATTGCTTTTCAAATTTTTACCATTACAGCAGGGATAGATACATTTGACAAAATCAGAGGAAACCATTTTCTTGCTTCTGTGTAGACAACAAGTTGGCACCTCTAGGTGCTTGATTTTTAAAAAGTATCCAGAAGGATGAGACCATACCTTGAACCACAGTAATAGCAGAATGTGGTTTCAAATGTGCAAAGAATACTTTTAATCTGCAGCATCTGTCCACATAGGAATTTCTTTTACAGCAATCCGATGTGTTTATGACATCCAGTAGTTGGAGTCATGATTCATTATGCTATGCTTCTACCCTTTGCCTGAACAGCCCCTTTCTGGTTCGGGCAGCTTCTCTGCTAATGAGCTACTGCTCTGATTAGAAGCCACTCTGGAGGACAGTCAAGATACAGTTGACTGATTTCAGACAATTGCAGCGTACAGGCAGACTAGGTCAAAAACCAGAAAGACTTAGGATTACGTCTGAAGTCTGCTGGGAAAGTAGGAGTAGTTGCTATCCACTAAAAACTAAAACCAACAGAAATACTAGACCTGCAGGCAGGTATACTGAGGTCCAGACACCATAAACAAGTTGGGTGTGTTAGCCATCTAGCAATAGCACACTGTGGTAGTTACACAGCAGGAATTTACTGTTTGAATAATGCTAATGTTTATCTGTGAATCATTTGTTTGAAGCAAATATTTTCTTTTGTGCTTATAGCAAAACTTGAAATGTCTACTGAAACATGGAGGATATGTTGATGATAAAAGTAGTGGTCGAAGAGACAGAAAAGTTGTTAATTAACAAATGTGCCAATAAAGTAATAAGGAGTTTATGTGTGTGGGAGTTTTTTCATTTTTTAAATAAGTGGTACAAGTAGCAAATTAATCCTCAGAAACATAAAATAGCAGCTATAAAATGGAAAAACAGGATTTCTACAGGTTTCAACTGGTTAACTTAAAGGCTTTTTGAGACGATTATGAATGCAATTTAAGACCCATTTTATGATATGATGGAAATTAGTTAATACAGCAAGATCAAAACCCATTTTCCCAAAAAACACAAGAGACTAAAAGATTTCATTAAATTCAATCAATTTTTAAGAGCTGTCAAAATCATTAAGACCTTTAAAAAGGCCTAAAATTCAGATTATTGGATTTTAGACTTTTAGAGTTCCCTCAGACACCCTAACAAAAAACCACAATGGTAACACTCACCAACAGCAGGCACAAGCTTTAAATGATTAGCAACCATTATTTTGGATTGTAGGAAGCAATACTGACATCTGCAGGTGTCAATTCCTGCTATTACTTTCTGTTGCAAATGAGTGATATTGGAAGCCATTAGTCAGACAAACTGAACTAAAGAAGCTTATACGAAGAGTAAAATGGAGACCAGTGACTAATATTTGTTGCTCATTAATCTGAGGCTGATCTTTGCTTTTAATCCTTCAGGGAAGACACCACACACCAAGATAAAGACACTTCAGTTTGCCGGCACAGCAAAGTGTTAATGAAACTGATATGCAATTATGATGCAACGCACAACAACAAACTACATACCTCCTCTACAGGGGCTTCCTCCTCCTCCTCCTCCTCCACAGCAGGAGCCTCCTCCTCCAGCACCTCTGGATCCTCCTCCTCCAGCACCTCTGGATCCTCCTCAATCACCTGAAAAGGAACACACCCGCTAAATGTTATCAGCAGCTTCACACTTGTATTTGTGCAAGTCTATGTCTGTTTCCCTTGAGCACAGAGTGTTTCACTGTACCAACCTCAGGAGTCTCCACAGGCTCTGGCTCAGGTTCAGGTTCAGGTTCAGCCACAGGTTCAGGCTCAGGCTCTAGAGATAAGAAGCAAGTTGTAGACACACACACACACGCTGTCAATCTGTGACTTAGTCGCAGCAAATACTAGCATTTTATGTTCAATTCAGGGCAATAACACATCAAGATGTGACTGAAATAACACAGGTTTTCATATTTAACAATAAGTGGGTCTTAAAAGTACACAGAGAACATTTTTTAATTACAGATACTGTAATGTAACTAGAGGTTTTAATGGGACAAATCTCATTTCTCTGCATATATTAATGTCAGCCTGCATTGATGGATGTCCGTTTTTCCATCATTATTCACCCCCCCCCACACACACACCCCCTACCCCCCCACCCCCGACTCCCCCACACCCCCCGACCCCCCCCCACACACACACACACCCCCGACACATACACCCCCCACACCCACCCCCACACACCTGGTGGTGGTGCAGAAGTGTCCTCTGCTACAGCAGCTTCAATCACATCTTCAACAGGCACAGGTTCAGGCTCAATAATAGCTGAGGAGAGAGTGGGAGGATGAAGGACAGAATTATGCACGAGATTGAGGGAGAGTTAAAAATTCAAAAAACATTTTAACTTCTATTTTTCTTATTAGAACAACTTAATTGTTAAGACTTTTCTCACAGAAAATATGTGAGAAAAGTGTAACATGATTGATTGCTGCATTCCATTTAGGGGTTCTAGTTTTTAAGTTTGGTGTTGTAAATGTTGGCTCATGGTTCGTAGCAGGCTTATAAATTTGTGACAAATGTGCTTTTCCTCCAAAGGTACCATCAGATCAAGGTAAACACATGAAGGAGAACTGGTGGAGTGCTGACGCCCCATGTGCAGAGGCTGGGTCGTTGCCACAGTGGCTATGGGTTCTTGAGTTCATTTTTGCCTACCACCTATGCTATTTTTGTCTTTGTTCAGCACCTTTTGAATGTTCTAACCCCACCATACAAATCATATAAGTCGGACTCATTTTTTCAATTTCATCAATGTTAGTTTAAGTATAACACTGCTAGGAATCACTCAAACAAACTCACTATTATACACACATACAGTGCATTTTAGGAAATAAATACAGTATTCTTATGTGTTAGGTGATTTTCTTCTAAACTGTTTATGGAGGGTCCCCACTCTTTAAAAAAGTTTCCAGGACCTTTCCAAGACATTTTAGAGGAGTTTGTTTTGACACTACAGAACAGGTGTTACCAATGATGCTAAGACTTTAGTCTATTAGACTTATAGTGTAGCAGAGCCTTTCCAGTGAGACAACCTGCCCTTGAACTCTGTTTGACCTGACTGGAACCTTAATGGAACCTTAATTTGTATCATTGGTAACACCTGTGTTTTCCCTACTATTTCATGTCAAAACGGCTGCTGTGAAAAAAGGACTACCAATTACAGATTTACAACAAATGTTATGGTACAGACATAAACGTGAAAAAACAACATCCGCACTTCTTTCTTCTCAGCTTGTCTCTACATGATATATAAATAAAGTTGATACTATAAATACGACATGCTCCGTGTATTCTATAAATAGCAAGAGGGTTTAAAGAATAACTGTTTGATAACAGGATTGATTTCATCCTCATCTTTACCATCAATCTCAACTGGTTTTTCATTAACTATTTGCAGTGGTGGGAGTATTTACTGCTATACATCAGCACTGGCACTCATAACCCCGTTAACCTGCCCACTTTTTAGCTAGTGATACACGCCATTGATTACGTGATGACAGCAGATAGAGGGAGAGAAGTAAACCATAAGTGCAGCTCGCTGCTGAGGGGCAGGTTGGAGCTATAATAGTTGACAGCTGAGCAGAACTAAATCAAATAGTATTTTTTTAAAATCAAATTACATACCAATTCATCACTTCTTTATCAAAAGAAATACAACTTTAAGAGCATTTTTTTCACTTTAAAAAAGCCCATGTGGTGTAACTAGGTTCCATAAACACTCAGGTCTGGTTTTTTATACTTTAAGGTTGGTTGAAAGAAACAACCTCTTTGTCTGTATGGAATTCAATTTGAGAGTCTACCTTTAAATTCTCAAATAGCGGCATGGGCCATTATTACCTCAATGGCACAGTAGCAGGCTTATATTAGAGACAATCTATTATTCCTCATAGGTATGTTTTCATTAGTGTATAAGCACCTGAAAATAAGAACTGTTGTGTTTTCATTACCTTAGAATGAGCTGTTTTTTTTATCCTCTTCTACGGAGGCCGCGCCATGTTGAACCCTCACGTTTCTACAGTAGCCCAGAAAGCCCAGAACCGTAGTTTCTCCTACAGGCTTGGTGAGGTGAGCGGTTTTACTAGGTTGCAATCTTCAACTTCACTGCTAGATGCCACTAAATCCTACACAGTGGTCCTTTACCAAGTCCTATCCTACTCATTGAAATATGTTTACAGTACACACAAAGCCTTCAGACTGAAGGCTCATTGGGAGGTTTTGGTTTCGGCGCTGTTTGCGGATAACAAACGCCACCAACTGAGGAGCCCATTGATACTGTGTCACCATACAACACCTGTATTCCCTCTTCTCTCCTTATCTACCATCAACATGTTCCTGTGCAGACACTGAAAGTGAAGGTGTGCGCGTAACACTTGTGGTACCTTCTAGTGTTGGTTCAGGTTCAGGGGTCTCCACTGGGGTGCCGGCTTCTTCCCGACGGGCAGCGACGACAACAGCCTTCTCTTTCAGTCCTACATGAGATGATGCACATTTGTTGACAGGAAACATTTTGTATGTGTACAGTATATACACAGGATATGTATATGTATGCATGTGTGTACTCAGTGCTTGATCAAGAATGCTGAAAAGTACCAGCCTCAATTTAATGATCAGATATCTTACACAAATACAGTACGGGGATAGATAAAAAGATTTAAGCTGTTATTGCTGGAAAGTAGGGCATGTATGTGATGTGCATGTAATGTACTGTACGTGTACAGGATCTTGTAGATAAACATATGTGGCAAATGAGGACATCATATAACATTGGTAACATTCACATGAATCAATACTTCCTATGGAACCATTTTAAAAAAGGCATGGGTTTTCTTTCGCTGACTTTCATATTATAGTTTGACAAAACTTTTATGGTACATTTTAACACATATTTATGACATGTCATTTTGTTCATTATCATTCATGTAGTGTGTTTAAAAGTTGTGTGTTATCCCAAGACAGGTAACTTTAAAAAAAAAAAAGAAAAAGTGTAGGTCTAGGCTGGATGTTGGGTAAGGTTATAAAGATTCACAGTATGATTTCCATTTCTGTTCTTCTTCCTAACACACGCACTCTGGTGGAAGGACAGCCTGACAGAGGCTTTCACATGTTAGAAAAGAGGCACTTAACATGGATCTAGAGACTTTATTCACAACAGAAAATAACACATGTATGATTAATTTAGTAAAACCTACATTTCATAGAGAAATTGATGGTTAGTTAGGATAATGTTTTCAATCTAGTCATTTCTAAACATCATCACGAACACTGAAGTACATCACTCTTGATAAACACTTTTCCATTACTCCCATCCTTCCCAGTCATACCAGTCTTTGCTCATCCAAAGACCGAAAAGGGCTGGCTGCAACACCTATACCAGTGTTATTTGCAAATTTCCAGCGCAGCACTTTTGCTGCAGTGACTAAGCTGGTGTCCACTCACTGTGGGACCTGGATTTTACTTTTAAATAAGTAGCTAGCTCACTCAAGAAGAAAATTTAGCAAACAGAACAAGCCAGTCTGGCTGGAAAAAGTCGTTTTCCTTTAACCTTTTCAGCAGAGCATTTCTTCCATTGTTATGCCTCCTTTTAAATTGGATGGTTAAAAGCATCAACTGCATATTATTTGTTTTACTTTAGTGAAATGATATTCAGTAGGTGATCAATTAGCTGACATGTGCACTATGACTGAGGACAATCTTTGTGACCAGTCCACCTATACGAAGGCCAAATAGGTCCAAAATCGTTAGGCTGGAAATCTTTACATCATAGTGCCAATAAGATACCTGAGTTTTGGTGCAGATACCAAAAATATATTTTTCAACAGAGAAATATAAAAAGTGTTTTTCTACAAATTCCTATTTAACTTAATTTGGCAAAAGACGCCTTCAGCTATTCTGTTTAATGCTGTCGGAACACACGCAGCCATATAAGAACTGTTGAAAATTGGAAAAGTTTAGATTTAAGTCAAGAATTAAAGTAAAATCAGAGAAACAAGATTATGAATCTAACCCGAAATTTGATCCCAGCTATCAGCACTTGATGGTGTTTGACACATTTTGGTCAGTGCCATAATGACGTCTGATTTCCCGTCCTAATATTGAAAATTGCTAAAACTGGCTTCCTATGGGGTGAAAATATTTCTCTTAAACCTTAGAATCACTGACTTCACTTCCCGCTTCTGTCAGATTTTTTTCTTTTTTCTTTGGCTGACTCTTTCCCTCTCCCCTTGTCTTCTTCCTGCACCTTCTTTCCCTCTTCTACCTTTTTCTCAAATTTCTCCTCTTTCTCCCCTCCTTTCTTTGATTTCTTCTCCCCTTCCTTCTCTTTGCCATCTTCCTTGCCCTCATCCGGTTGTTTTGCTTTTTCCTTCCTTAATTTCTCCAGAGCCTTCTCCATCTCTTCTTTTTCCATCTTCTCCTCCTCCTCTTTCAGCCTAGTGGCCACTCTTTCCTTCACTCTGGCTGTTATTTCCTTCCTCCCCAGTTCCAGCTCCTTTTCCTCCTCCTCTTTGGCTAGGAGCTCTCTGACCTCAGCCAGGGCCAGCTTGGCGAGCTTCTTGGCCTCCACGCGTTCATGGATGATGGCTAGCTGCTGCTTTAGAGCTTCCCGCAGCTTCCAGCCCACATCCTTGGTTGGAGACGTTTCTGGGGTGGATGAGCAACATTTTGCTGTTTCACCATTTGTAAAATGTGTTTTACAGGACGGACGCCATGCTCAAACTCACTCTGTTATTACACGTCAACACACATCGGGCAGACATGTGGATGAACCAGGGCCATATCTATTCACAGTAGTTCCATGCCATCTACATGGGCAGACTTTACAGACCACTGGTATGTTATAGGTCAGTTTAAAACAGCAATTAACAGTATTCACACCAGTTTGTTCAAAATGTACTTAAATGAAGGTACTCTAGTACACTACTCAGGTTTTACTTATCAAGCACAAACACAGAATTAAGGCAAAAAACAACTTTAAAATCACTGCAAATGAACACACTCAGATTGGATCCAAGAACACAATGAGTTTTGAGTAGTTGTCATCTGTTAGTCTAGCCCACACTGTAACACAGCACAGCTTAATGCAAATGGCTGCATGACTATACCTTTCTTAGCTCCTCTCCTGGCTGCATCTGCAGGGTTTTCATCTGATGTCGCACACAAACAAGACAAAAGTTACAACACTGGACTCCTCTCTCTGTGTGTGTAAATATAATGCTTTTGTCTTTTACACGCCATGAATTTATCATTCCTACTGTCCGATATCAGTTGCAGTTCATGCACAAGCCATCCATTACACAGCTCCATACTATCAAGTCTGGAAATCTACATGACGCTAATCTCCGCCACAAGCTGAAGCAAACCACAATAAACGTTTCATAGCAGAAGCACACGGTTGCTATACAACTCAACTTGGCTATACATGAATGAGAGACGCAACTCAAGTTCAGCTTTGCAGAATCTGACTTTAGCCTGGTGACAGCAGACATTTTGACTTGTCGTAGTAGGAAAAGAACATGTGAAACACATTTTTCGCCCCGTTCAATCAAGTGTCCCAGTAGGCCATGACAGTGAGCCAGAACTGCAAAATAGCAGGACAATGGACAAGCTTGCATTAACAGAATGTAGTCATTCATACCTTTACTCAGTGTAAAAAAGGTTAATATATTAGTACCAATAGAGGATGGAAAGAGATGTGCAGTGCAGCCTAGTGGAGACACTGTAGAGCTCCACTTTCACACCAAAGCAGAACACCTATTCTATTTTGCAAGATGCAAAATGGTACACTTTGTGAATGTAGTGGAGAAAAGTTCTTTGTTGTTTCAAATGATTACTGTAGTGAAGTACTTGATGATTCAATTACTTACTGCTATTACTTATACACACTGGGAAAAAAAAATGTCTGTGCTTATGAAGATCACCAACCATGTCAAGGTTTATCCACTGTTGAGTTCACCACCACATCAGAGTGTACAAAGTAACACAAACTATGGTTCATACCAAGTGTCCAAAGCCAGCAGCCCACCTAAGCCTAGAGATGCTGCTCTCATTCCTGCCAGATACTGAGTGCCTCTGGTTCCAGCTTTTTTCCTCTCTCTCCTCCTGAACCTAGGCACTGGGAGCTCTGGTTGGACTGGGAATACAGAGAGTAGTGAGTATTATCCCTGATACTAGTTAGCCAGAGTAAAGATGACTAGTCAAAAAGAGGTCTTTCCTGAAACTAGCACCATATGTAGTAAATACTGCTGGGGTCCACTCATTCTCGCAAAATCTTTTATTTGTACAACTACAGCAATGGTTGAGGAAAACCATTAGTAAAATTACAGTCCAATATGGTCCCAAACAGCTCAGTGTGTGAGCTGCTGTTTAACCTGACTGTGGGAGAATGGGAGGACACTGGTCTGAAACTGAGGCAGGAGGAGTGAATGCTCTGCTCTGTCCCAGTAACCCAGTGAGCTCAGCAGACAGATATGTCGTACCTCTGTGTCGGCTTCTTTTCCTCTCATCATGTACTCCACTCTGCTTAGCTGATGTTTATACACACATGAAAACAAGAAAAATGTAAACATACCAAATGAGCCTAATAATAGGTGTAGGAGTGATACTGACTGTAAATGGCCTGAAAGTCACCAGTTATTGAAGTTAAAATAGCTATGGAGTTATGCACGTGCTCTATTTTTCAGTGTTTTTGTGCTTCAAAAGTATCATGCAGATTTATTCTTCTGAAAAGCCAAAGCTGGAGTCACTCCACCCCAGAGCAGGAAGAGCCTGTTTCTAAGTCATCTGTCATCCATGCATTCATAACAGCTAAACCCGTTGACACAGAAACACACACCCTGGTCACATTCAAAAGACAATACACCTGCAGTTAGTTTCAGCTGTCTAAGCTTGTAGCAGTGATAAGTTGGTTCAAGCATAATGAATCAAACATGCCTCTCCTCTGCATTACTTGTGTCAGCACTCTGATCACACCTTTCTACTGCAGTGCACTCCTCTCACAAACTGGAATGGCAACAAAACCTGTGCATAGCCACAATGCCTAATATTGGGTTTAATCACAAGTTTTAGGCTTCATGGCCGACAACTACTGTTGTGTGCAAGACATTTGTATTACGTTTAAAGGAAAATGAGGAAAATGGAAAAGATGGTGATCAACGCTGTTGTTGAGCAGAGGGATGGCATACATCAACCAACAAACAATATGAAGCTTGATCTTTGCAGAATACACAAGAACCTGAAGGATGGGAAGCATCAACTTGGCTCAATATATATTCATTAATTAAAAAAGGCAATTCTAGAGTTTAAGACCCCATTTCCACCTGGTTATTAACAGGTAACATGTATCCAGATACATTACCTGGATACTGACATCTGATCACAGGACTTTCACACGTCAAGTCTGGTGTGTTGATGTGGTCTGATAATATGCTAATTAAATAGGCAGACTTGAAAGCAAAGTGGTAATTCCTCAAAAGGACTGCTATGGTGTGCAATGTGAGGGCCACATTACCGACTGAGACAGCTGAAGGAATCTGTATGCTACTTTTCAGTAGCTTTGCTAACTAGGCTTATGTCTCTTTCTGTAAATGGTCCAGATGTACCCTAAATCTAACATAATGGACGTAGAGTTGCAGACCTGTTTACACTAAACTGGGTGTCTGCTTAATACAAAGAAATTTTCACACTTTGTCAGCACATATAGTATGCATTGGATCATAAATAATCTGGGAATCACATGGATCTGCAGAGTCTTGTTTTCTTATCCAGATGTAGATTGCATGTTAGTATCAGGTAGAAATGCAGTCCAAGACAAAAAAAAAACCCTTTAACTTGACAGAGGTTTTAAAAAGTACAAATTCGTACTTATAGTCCAAGAGTCCAGAGTAAATATGTTGTGGATCAGTTTTTTTATGGCATGCTGCAATTATAAAAGACAAAATGTCAGAAAGGGACAGTCGAGCAGCTGTCCAAGTGCAAATCGCCTCACATTTTGTGTTATTTAGTGTTGCTGGACAACAGGTTTGTGCCAAAAATAAAGATTTGAAAAGATTTTTAAAAAATGTTTAAGAGGATTTCTTAAAGTCTTCCTGAGTATCATGTATATTAGGGGTGTGACTGTACCTCTATTCATTGGGTTTGGTATGCAACTGCCTTGGTTCAGTACGCCCTTTCAAAACAGTCTATGTCTACTACTCATACACAAAAACACAGAAATTTAAGAGGAAGCGTTTTACCCAGACAGTTTTGGCAGTGCACCTATCAGCTGAAGCATGCTAGTCAGCTTAGCCCAGTTAACAAAGTTAGTAAGCCAAGTAAGTCAAGCTCATGTAGTGTTGCTGCCATCCAAATGGCAAACACAAATGAGAGACCAGAGCTGAAGGATCTTCTATAACATTTAGATCCACCGTATGGGAGCACTGCCGTTTCTCGGTTGGTTACAGCAAAAGTGGACAACAATTTGTGGATAGGATAAGGACAAGTAGTGCCTCAACTGTTACAGTAAGAATTATGGTCAATGAGCAAACAAAATGAACATTTTTCAAAATAAGACAATTTTGTTTTCTCTGCTGTATCGAAAACGTACCGATCCCAACCCTAAAACCAATGTACATACCAAACCATGGATTTTGTGTACTGTTACACCCTATATATATATCCCCAGCACAGGGATCTACATAGAAAACTCTTTCAAAAGTATTTCACTCTCTCAAGATTCTTCTGATACAACAATGAAGCCTGTTTGTCAAATCTGACAGTATTTGGGGATTCCAGTGGGTGAAACCTGGGATGGTTGGGGCCCACATCACATTTATCCAAAGCTACTGGCTGGGTTAAGTTGCCATAACCTGCCAAACCAAGCAGAGAAAATACTGTAGGAACAGGTTTCCAGACACTGTAGCTTGGTCTGTTGGATGTTGAGGCCCTTCAGTTAAAAGCAACTGCATTAGAGCAGAATTGGTTGCTGCAGTTGGTCTGAGGCTATTGGTTATGGAGGCCGACTATGACGATCTTCTGCCCCTGATTTCCATCATCTTTCGCTCCTCTTCTTCTGACCCTTCCGTCATCCTCGTCCTCTTCGTCTTCCATTGCCTCCACAGCTCCTCCTGAGGTACTGTGCTCCTCCTCCTCCTCCAGGGACTCCAGGGGGTTTATCAGACCGTACAGGAAAGTGAAGAAACCGTTTAACCAATCAGAGCCGCCCTCCTCCACTTCTTCTAACCAATCCAGAACCTCGGATTCACCCTGACCATCGCCCTCACTGGTCAGGCCTACGCAAACAAGAGGGGGAGGGAGGGTATGGAGGCAGGGGTGGATGAAGGGGAAGTTTGGGAGCACAACGTGTGGAAGTGAGGGAGATGGAACGGTGTTGGGTAAGGGGGTGGAAAAAACTCAAAAACAAGGCAGGAAGAAATGAAGGTGGAATCAAATGGAGAAAAAAAGATGTAATGAAAGAGCAGAGGAAGAAAGAGAAGGAGGGAAAGAAACAAGAGGAGAAGGTAAGAGAAGTTTTAAGCGTAGGTTAGGCAGCGAGGGAACTACTCAGGCTTTATCATAAGCAGCTGGAGTCGGGCTGTCTACACTAGATCACCAACAAAAATCACTTTGTGCCAACTTGAGCCATCGTCCTTTATAAATAGGTCATGGTGGCTCAAGTATAATCATATGATTTTAATAACTATTTATAGTTCTTGTTTATTAAAAATCATATGATATCAGAGCAATGATATTGAGCTGAGCTCTCCGTGCCCAAACATCAGAGAGCTGCCTATCAAGTGGAGACAGCCTTAGAATCATAGAGAAGAGTTAAGACAGATAAGAGGAAAACTGAGGCTTGGTTTCTATTAAACTGTTTGCATTAGAAAAGCTGGAAACCGCATAATATGCGCACAGTTGCACTGGTTTTCCATTTGAGATGTTGGTTAGTGGTTTATGTTCCCCTCCACATCCAAAACATAACAGTAGTGCTGTTTAAATCTCCTATGTAGTAGAGTTTGGTATTGAAGTGCATGTATTATGATACCTACTGTGTCAAAAATGAATTATGATGTTCTGGGATAAACTACATACTATAAACCTTTGTTTAAAAAGACAAATGTTATCGTTTTAAAAATCACAACCACAATCATGGACAATGAAAACCCTACACCATCTTAACTGTGGGTGGACACATGCAACATGCTGGTAAATACTCACACCATTTGTCAGCAGAGAGTAGAGCTAAAAATGTATAGTTGAAAAATACTGAAGAGCTAAATTTAGGTTCTTATCATCCATTAGTGTGTTTTAATACAGATAGGAGCTCCTCATAGATCTGATATTGTTCTATTCAAGCCAATTAAAGCTAAAGAACACACACAACAAGAAACTGAAAAAGAAGGGAAGACAACGGGGGAGATTAAAAAAGGATCATAATGAAGGGCGAGAGAAGCACAGCATATGCATGGGAGCATGCGCTATAATGGGGGGGGGGGGGAGAGAGAGACAAACCGAAAGTTCAACTAACAATTTGAGGCATTGATAGTGGGATAGAAAGGCTGAAGGTGGGCTAGGCCTTTCTGTAGATGGATGAACTCTGGTGACAGATCCGACTGCCTCGAGCTTCAGCAAAATAAATGATAGAACAGAGCATGAGAATGACTGTCATGCAGGAGTACTTCAGAACGGGACAATTCGAGCAAAGACTTCTGTGTGATGTCCTAAATGCTTATATTAAGAGCTAAATAGTTTTGAAGATTTTGAACATTGAGGGAAAAAAAAGTGGGTGTTAATTTACATATAGTACAAAATTCAGACACGGCACTAGCCTCCATGTGAATGAATACAAGTTGTGATTCCCTGTCTGATTTTAGAGCCAGGGAACTGATTTATAAAATATATTAAGTGATACAAAAAGACATGTTCAGGTTCTTGGAGATTCAATGCAGAGCACCTTCTCAATGCAAGTTCAAAATTTCAGCTCTTCTGTTGGAAATGTGCACAGCTGTGGTCCAATATATTAAAACTAGTGTACACCATTCAGTAAACTTGGGGAGTTAAATAAATAAGAAGCTGGTCTTGTATAAAACCATGCAACATGCAGCAGACATCACATGGGGAATAAATTACAGCACTGAAGACATCCGGGAAGTACAACGTTTCTTATGAGGCCGCCAGCTGTCTTGAATGCTTTGAGCTTCACGTAGAAGAGAAATATTCCAAAAACTATACTGCTACAACATCATGCCAGCAATACCAAAAACAGAAAAGGTCCATATGAAATCAATGGAGTGCTGTGTGTGTGTGTATGAGTTGCAATTAACCTCCCAGTCAGGCAACTAATCACCATAGTTGCTTTAAAGTTGCCTTAATTTACCTTTGAATCAACCCTTTATCATGATAAACCTCATTCGTTCCATCCTTTAATAACCTCAGTGGTTCGTTATAGCCGTACTACAGAGCACCTACCTTCTTAAGTTGGGACCTAAGCTTTAGGATGTTATACCAATTAAAACTAATATTCTTAATTAGGGGACAGTCAAAGAGACATGGTTTATTTTGGATGACAAACCACTTAAAATGGGTCTTTTAAGTGAAATGTGCATTTTGTGTACCTTCCAGCCCACTCCTGCCTGCCCTTGAGGAATACCCCTTTGTGGAGTTCTCGCTCCAGAACATAAATTCACTGCAGAAAGGACGGACTGGTTGACCCTTGTTACTGTTTTCATTGGTAAAACTGTCTCTAGGGTCAGCTATACAATTGTCAGTCATGCAAAAGAAACCCAAATTGCCATTTAATTTAATTAACACAAAACACACCATCAGTGGCCTGCAGATTCAAACCCACAATAAATCACCTATGGTTGTATCATGATTTTGTGAAACCATGTATGTTGTCACTAATAATAATAATCGGTTCCCCTTTGTTTCGATTTCTGCAAGACACTGATAGTAACCACTAACATTAGTTGTAAATTACAGGTAAATCAACTTGCCTAGGAGTACTTTAGCATCCTCGACATCAAAATCACCATCGCCATCTGTATCGTATGCCACCAGTTTACCTACAGCAGCAACAGAACACACATGAAGACTTGTTTGTTCTCACACAGGAACTACAAAAAGACATATTAATCACCACACACACACACGCACGCACGCACGCACGCACGCACGCACGCACGCACGCCCTTAATAGCCTCTATCTTTCATTACAAAGTTGGTTTAACTGTTAGGATCCTTCATAAAAACAAATGTATATTGCATTTGTGCTGTCCTTATTTAACTGGGTGTGTTGGCCAAGGTTACAGTCGGCTAACAGCTTGGAGAGTTCCTTTAAATGTGAAGGGATGCAGTGAGTGTCACTAGGTGGGTAAAAAAGGAACAGCCTGGGACTTTTTAAGCAAGAATATCTATTGCTGAACAAAAACTAATGTGACACAGCTTGTTTTAGTGATAATAAAAAACATTTTTGGGGTGTTGTTAGCAATGTTTGTTATTAACTCCAGCTATGTTTAGGATGGTAGAATCAAAGCTGCTGGATTTGCGTCTACCAGTTATACCAGTTACAGAGTAACTGGACCACAGAGGACATGATGGACATGAGGTTAGACAGAAGCCCTGGATCCAAACCAGCTGAGGAAATGTTTGTACAAAATCAATATGCTATGTGCTACTATGTTGGGAAAACACCCATTGTGAAGATGGTTAAATGATAAAACCAGCATACACGGTGTATAGTGAATCATAAATGAACTAGCAAAACACTAGCAGACAAGCTAGCAAATATAAATCAATAATTAGCCAGCTAGTTATAGCTGAAAGCTAATGTTAGCAAAACACTAGGCAACTAGCAAGGTTTAAAAAAATACATCAATCGTTAGTTAGCTACCATTTTATTTTTAAACTATATTCAAAATGTGGTTGTCTTTTTAACATAGATTAGCCTAGCACTCTCAACTATTATTGGAACACAGAGAAAAGGGGCGGGACTTAAGAAGGGTCAATCCTTTTAGGTTCAGGGCTTTGAAAAAAGTGTAAGCGAGCGAGGAAAAACAATATGACACAAACCAACAATCACTGACGTTAACACAGCATGTAAGAGAAATATGCTTTGAGATTTTTTTTACCTTGCAAGGCCTCAGACAGGTTAATTTGTAAGCCCTTAGCCTTGTCTGCATGCAAACACAAAACATACATTGCAAGATTAAGAAATAAAAACAGAACAGATTTATAATTCATACATTCATACAGTAGATTACTACACAGACAAGAGTGTTCAACATTAACCATTAGGGTAAAGATTAGTGACAGACAGTAGTGTGGTCAAAGAGGAAGACATGCATCTGATCCAACAGTAAAGTAGATGGACTATTATGGGGTAGTTGCAGTATATATAGTGTATAGTGCTGTGTATACATATAAAAAGACCAGTGAGCGCAATATTTTCTTGGCGTGGCAAATATGTTACAGCACTGTAAGATAAAGCATTATCTTACTATTCTCAAAAAGGTGAGATAAGTGATGGTATACGAGCTATGCAGTTAAATGCTCAGGTTAATACAAAGTCTGGCTACATAATCAGGAAGCTTGGCAGTGCAACATTGGCAGTTTACTCTAATTAACTGGTGTGTTCGGGCATTTCTGGTTCCACTTGATTTGATTGCAGCCATTTTGGTAGCTGGTTTGTATCCCATTTTCTTAGATATTTAAAAGCATGTGTTGATCACAGAATGGAGTAAGAGGAATAGGAAGGATGGAGAATTGAAGTAGACTCATGTCAGGATGGTAATGCTGCTGATCTGACGTTAGTGTTCTTCTTCTAGGGTTGAAGTTGACTTAAGGGACAGATGGCAGGTGTATGTGTTTGTGGACAGACAAATGTAGAAGCACATGAGGACAAAAGCACAACTAGCTGCTACTACACCGTTCCAGCAAGGTGCAGAAAGGAAGACAGTGTTTCCTCTAGGATTTTTTTAGCAGTGGGGGCAGGCCCGCAACACAAACAAATATATTTACCGTTTTAATGTTTCCAGATGTTTGATATCAGGACGTTGAGCTGAGAACTGACAAGTTGAACGTTGTCCAATTAAAAACGGACCCACCGCGGTGACGTTTGTGGTGGAGCTGTTAGTTTAATAGTCGACTTGGAAGAAAGCGAACGTTTTGACAATAAACTACATCAACACAACAGTATGTGGAGTTAAACTGGACAGCCCCAATAACCTCTGAATAGTTCTACTTGTTACATTGCAATGTGAGCGGCAGCCAGCGGGGGTGCATTATGTCGGCAGGATCATTTAAAAGGCAACTGTGACTACATTGTGCGTCTGCCCCATTTCTGATACCGTGGCGGCAGAAATTTAACAGCGGCGGGCCGCCGCTCCAAAATCAACATAGAGGAAACACTGGAAGAACACATCCAGCTACTCTTTGAGCCCAATGTACGTGTGTTACATTGTGTACTCACCGAGGACTCCCTGATAGTCGACCAGGTCAAAGTAGACCACGGCTACAGATGTCCAGACACCCAGCAGGGCCAGGACAATGAACCAGGTGAAGAAGCTGCTGCTGCTGGACCCAGAGTCTGACTTCTTCCCATTCTTGTTGGCGGATTGGGTCTTCGTACCATCTGCAACCAAACACAGTACATCATGTCAGGTTCACTTGAGGGTTTGACACGTTTCCTTTTTACACTCAAATTAAGAAATTATGTAGTTTCAAATAATATTAGTAATGGAAGACCCATCTCCAACAGCACACATTACACATTGTGTGTGTGGTTGGACTTTGAGAAGCTGGATGATTTTATTACCAACTTATGGATGTATTTGCCAAATTTAGAACTGGACAGGAAGCAGATTTTACAGTTTAATCACATTCCTTAAGGAATCCATAAGGAACACAATAATACCAATCATCCAATCCACACACATTTAAAACTAACAAACCTCTTAAACTATAGGATCTCAAGACTACCTTAGACAAAAGTAACTACACTGCACAATCAAAACAATAGATGAGTGGAGACGATGTAAACAAAAAAAATAAACCACATCCAAGAAGCTATTCCGGGTGTGCCGATGACATCCCACAATGCACGATGGGAGAAAATGGTGTCAGAGAGAATGAACAGGTGTTGAAGTCCACTGCATGGTGCTGGGTCAAACTCAGACACACTGAAAGAGCATAGTTCAAATGACTCACATTGACTGTATATTTTAATATACCTTGCTAAAACTGAACGTGCATAGTTCGAGACCTACTGCTGTAACTCCAAATAATTTTCAAAGTATTTACCATTAAAAATCCAAACTCAATACGGAGTACCAAGTTTGAGGGGGGGCAAAAAAAGTCTAGAAATTGTTTGATGTCTTACCAGAACCAGCTAAGAATGTCAGTTTCAGCTTTGTTTCTGCACCTATAGTCCAGAGATCTGTCTGCTCAGTGATTTGTCAAAATCAGCACAAATTCTGAAGCAGGAAGAATATGGTATGGTGTTTACCCCACTCTGGATTCAACTAAAAATGGACATGATCTAAAGGATTTATTAAAACCACTATTTGTACATAGATCAAAACATGTGTAGTACAAACAGTATAGTTTGGTCATAATTTAGCTTTATGCTCTACTGACAGAGCACTCCCTGAGCTAACATGACAATCTACAAGGCCCTCACAATGACCTCTACTTCTTTGTCCTTCCCACTCTCTAGGTCAGTAGCCCTTGAACAAAGGCTTTCCTCACCTTGCATTTCCCCAGCTATCACCGTAGGGATTGCCGTGACGATGGTAGGGGTGGCAGACTCGACCAGGGTAGCTGGATCACCCATCCCTGCCGACTGACGGCCAGGCTTGCCGATTGACCAAATAAGAGGTTAGCTGGCCACAAAGACGGCATGCAGTCCCCGCTATGGGAAAAGGGGAGCTCTGCCTCCTGGTCTCACCTCCTATCCGTCTCTCTTTCTGTCCCTCCCCTCTTTCTCTATTGACTGGCTTTCTTTCTCTTGTTCATCTGTCAGTAATCCTTGCTCTGTCACTTTTTTCTCTGAGCCTGATATGGCTCTGGAGGTCAAAGGCAGCTATTTATAGTGCTGTTAGACCAGCTGGCCCTGACACAGAGAGAGAGAAGAACAGGCTAAATGGGCACTGCCAGCTTTAAAAGACTGCCCACTTTCCTCTGCCTGATCTGGAAGATTTTACAGGCATGTTTCACTACATTTCATATAAAACGTATTATTGACGGCATTTGTGACATAAAAAATTTCACTCCATTCTCAAGCCAGGGCCTTTGAAGCGGACAGAGGTATAAGACTGTAACTTTGCTACAACTACTGCTGCCATGGAGACCAAAGCCAAATAGCCAGTCAGGCTAAAGACTATCTCAAAATCCATTTTTCTAATCCATGTAAAAAATCTGGACGTTGGCAGAAACAAGTCTGCAGAAAAATGAGAGCAAACAGATACCTGAAAAGATACAATCAACACATCTGGGTGCTGCAGGGGATTCCCTTGATTGGGGTACAGGAAGTTAAGAATTTGCTGTCTTTAGTTTGAAGTAAACAGAAGCAGGGCTACAACTAATGATTATTTTCATTCTCGATTAATCTGCAGATTTCTTTCTTGGTTTATCATTTACACTTTTGGTTTACAAAACATCAGAAAACTGAAAAATATCCATCACAATATGCTAGAGCACATGGTGACATCATTAAAATGTCTTGTTTTGTCCGACCAACTGTGCAAAACCGCAAATCAAATTTACTGTTTATGTAAGAACAGTGAATTCTCACATTTAAGTCATATTTTCGACAGTTTGCTTAAAAATTACTTAAATTAATAGATTATTTCAACAGTTGCCAGTTAATCACTTACCCCTGTAGCTCTAAACATAAAAATAACTGAGTAGAGTTGAAATATTGCACAGGATCATCTCGCAAGACATCACTGGGCCTGTAGGTTAGGAATGGATACTAATAACTGATCTTAAATAGGTACCACTTCCTGGTTGGTCAGAATCCAAACTGAAAAAGCCCAGGGGAAGTTGTTTTTATATTAGGTAAAAAGGCAACAACAAAACCTTCTGACGATTACTGTCAGAATAATAAATAACTCAATTGCTTTCTGAACATGTCCCTCTTTTACTTGCAAAATTATGGGTAAGTGTCAAGTACCAGTTCTACCAGCGACCACATATACAGCTGTAGGCATTAGGGACTGGCAATATATGTAAATATGTTTGCATGTTAAAATAAAGGCTGCACGATATGGTAAAAACACCATATTGCAATTGTAACTGAAACAACTATTAATACTGTGATTCGTGATGATGTGAATTTGTTGTGGTATGTACTCTTACAGTTTTCTTAAATCTGTGGAACACAATGATTAGGGCAGGGCCACATTTTACCTGGCACAAGGCCATATTACAATATTCATAATATTGTATGGTATACATATTTGTGATACCGGATTTATTAAAAAGTGCAGCAATGTTAATGTTCAGCAGAATAAAATAAAATTCTAGTACCGTCTGTTCTTGTATAAACAACAGTGAGAGGCTCAAAACTGGAGATCCTGAGCCATAAATCACTCATCTGCCACATGCTATGGCAGTGTTATTCGAGCTACTAAAAGACACCCCAGGGACACTGTTACTAAAGACGATACCTGTATGGTGGCATATCTGAGTCAGCAAGAAATTCTGGTTCACACAGAATGGTCATTTGCAATTTGAATTAGCACTTCAAAGTGAAGTGGACAGTGAATAAGAGTAGGGAGTTCATGTTCTCCTCCAAACACATTTACAATTCTAACAGACTGGACTCAAGCCAGCAAACAATACATAAAAATAGATGAACCAACGAGAATTGTTATGGCTTGTTTTCAAGGCTGCAAGACTTGACACTGCCTTAATAGAATAATGAAATAACTATTACTAATGCAAAACTCCCAGTGTGCTAATCAGAATATCCTTACAAACATGTATGGACACATCTTACACACAAGCTAACACAAAGAAAAGCCATCCAACAACCCCACACACATGCAGACACCCACCCTACCCGCCAATAGAAGACAGTTGTGGAAAAATAAAAAAACCATGCAATAACATACCGCTTTGTTCCTCTATACACTCCATTCTCATATGACCACAGTAGCCAATTCACACACGTGCATCCACACACACACGCACTCTTTTCAAGACAAACGGAAAATTCTCTACTCAGTAACGCTCAGGACACATTGTTCAGCCTGAGCAGCTCCTCTGGAGTCTTATGTAAGGGCTGCTGTGCACCGCCTTCAAACTCCTCTTCCCTCTGGCCTTTAAATGCGTGCATGCTCATGCGTGTACACACACGTCACACACACATACACCATTTTTTTCTACATTTTGACGCTGCTGTCTAGATGCTGACCTCTGACCCTTAAACCGACTTTAAAACAGATGCTCTGAGGGAGTGAGGACCAGCAAAAGTACTCCACTTGGAAGAAATGAAATCATGCCCACACCTTTAGAGGAAATTACAGTGAAAGTACAGTAAAAAAAACGGGAAAGGCCAGTGTTTGCTTTGTCCATTCTGGCCTACTGTAGAAACACGGTGGTTCAATGTGGCGGACTTCATAACTCTGTGACTATGTTAATAAAAATGGCTAGTTGTAAGGTAACGCAAACACAGCGATTCTTGTTTGCAAGTGATTATTAATGGTGGGTAAAAATATCGATTCATCAATGCATTGCAATATAATTTTTCCCAATTCAATATCGATTCATTAAATCCTCTGAATTGTTTCAAGCCCCTGGCCAGTGGGGGCGCGGTGGGCAACACGTTTGTGTGATTTGCACTGTACGGACGGAGGCCGCACTCGACCACACAACAACAACAACAACAACATGGCAACCGAAGCAGGTAGCAGTGTTAAACCAGCACCTTCAACTTTAAAAGCAGTGTAAACCTGGAACACAGGAAATAGACAAAAGTAAGGTAGTGTGTAAACTGTGCCAGGCAGTACTAAAATACTGCAATAACAAATTTGCGCAACCACTTAAGCCGACACCATGCAGATGTTCTGCAGCAACCTGCAGCTAAACCTGTGGATTCAAAACAGACCCAACTAGACAGATCCTTCCTTTGCAAACGCCATACCAACACACAAACACATGACAGAAATCGCCGTCCCGAAGCTGTACACAGGTAAAGACAGCGGTTTTTGGAGTCGTTGAAGTCGGCACTGAATCGAAGCATTTAAATCAATATCGAATCGAATTGTGACCTAAAGAATCAAAATCGAATCGTGAGGTTCTTGACAATACCCAGCCCTAGTGATTATACATTACATGTCTGTTAACCACAGATGTGGATGACAGACATCAACCTAACAGCCAATGGGCTTGGACAGTACGCATTTTTTTATACCTTCCTGACACTTAGCCGGGGTATACAGTATGTGAATATTATAGTATATTTTTTAAGTGGTGCAGCTCTTTAAACCTTTACCTCACTGGTTTGCTGCATAGAATCATCTCATGCCAATCGAATCTGTACAAATACCTTGATACCGCCTGTGCCTAGCAGCAAACTGCATCCACTCCCTTTACTGCAGCACTGGACAGTGGACCTGGCTGATTCAGCCTCATGGCGCCAGGATCTGTGATGTGCGCAGTACATTCCAACGATGGAGGCTGTGCTCTAGGCAAAACAATAAAGGGCAGGAGACAAATCTCATGCCTGGCTTTGTTGTGAAAAATCCCCAGAAAGTCACTAGTATTAACAAGAGCTGTTTGTTGAGCTAGTGTCAAGTTAATTAGATTATCATTGGCTCACTGCAAGCTGGTCCAACACAGCACAGTAGTTTTTGACTTCAAACCTTTTCCAGGTCCAACAGTGAACAGATTAGTCCATATTGAAAATAATCATTAGTTGCAGCCCTTATAGGGACACCGCAAACATAGCTCCAGTCAGCAGTTTGATCACCACCTAAAACAATACTCACTGCAGACTAGTAACCATAGCAACAGCAATGATGCTTTACAGAATCATATGATCTGATATCTGATCAGCAAAAACTGTTTTAAGAGGGTTTGGGAAAAGCATCCCTGAGGATATGAATATCCTGTCCAGAGTTCAAAAAAAGTTTTTGCATTCATGGGGAGTCTCCCAAACACTGGACTCAACAGCAGACAGCAGGGTGCAGGACCAGGCCATAACTTAGTCACTGACACAAACACACACAGCATTGCACGTTCATGCAAGGTTACAGGGTTTAAGTTAAAAAAAACTATCTGCAAATGCAAAGAAATATAACAACACAGCATCACACATCAGTCCCAGAGCAAACAGACACGGCTGTTACCCTTTCAGCTCTGCATACTTCCCAGCCCTTTGGTGAGGGGAGGAGGGGGAGGCCTGGGGGATTGAAATGATTATGAACAAAATGTAGAAAAACAAAAAGTACACATTACAAAAACGGAAAAAACTAAAAAGGGTGAAATATGACTGAAGATTCAAGTGAAGTGCAACTATATCAAAAGAAATCAAATGACGATAAAAGATTACCCCCACTCATGTATTCTACAGATCCATGATTCAATCAACCATATGATTAGCACACTTGAGATATTTCAGACTCAATGCCTCTGAACTGTTTTGAGGCAATTTACAGTTTACACACTCCTTTCAGGCTTGACTGGGAGCCAAGATCAATATTTGATAAGCCACTTTAAGTGTTTGCTGATATGCTGTAACTCAAATAAATACAAAGTGCACGGGCGTTTCTTTCTCTTTCAGTTGTGGGTTAGTTAATCCACCACTGCTACAGAAAACCAGCAAAGAAATGACGACTTCCTGAGTTGGGATGGACGAAAGGTAAAAGCACATTTCCCCACAGGTGTCGGTTCTCACTAGAGGTCAGGGGCAGGAGGGACATATGCAGACTTTATGTATATTGGTGTAT